TTATCATAATATTTGGTTGAGATATTGTTAAAGATTGAAAATAGTTTTAGAATATTGAGAATACCTCGTGGGATAATTTATTTTCGAATAAACGTGATTTTATGCAAATGGATGGAATAATTTTTGAATATTTTTTTTAATGATAATGGAAAACTTACATGTATAGTATTTATGTATATCAAATTTTCCTTTTGCTTATTTATGGTCATATTCTAATTGCAATTTTTAATACTATAGTTTGCTTATTTATTGTGTATAGTTTTAAAATGGATGATATTCGAGTCGAATATTCATAGTCTGTATTCTTTAACTTTATAATTTCCTTTTTGGTAAAAGGGCCTTCTGCTCACTTTTTGCTAGGTCTCGGGGTTGCTCTAGGTGTGCAAATTGTCCTTGAATTAGGCTATTTGTACATTTAAATATGTATATCTTGTTTGACACTCCTATGTGTAAAAAATATAGCAATCGTTTGAAAAAAGTGTTTTTAAAATCAATGTTTAAAAATTTGTCAACTCATTGAAATGTCAAACTATATGTAAACAATGATGTCTATGTAGCATGATTCATATTCCTTTCGGATGAGTTTCAAGAAAAATGGACTTTAAATATTCTACTTGTGATGGTTACAACTTGTCAAAAACAAATTCTTTCATTTTCACCCCTAATATCATATCATCTTCAACCAGTCCAAGTGTCAGCTTCAGCACAAGCTTAGCTTACACTATTCCATTGAAGTGGTATACCTGAAAATATAAGGATCTGTTCCTTTTACCATTTTCAAGTCGTTTTCTATTTTCGATTTTCTAAAACAGTGAAAACGCATTTTTGAAAATAAGTTAAAAATTTACAAAAAAACCCAAAACGACAAATTGTCGTTTTGAGTGTTTTCAGTTATAATCAAGTCAAAATTTTCAAAACACGTTTTTGGTGTTTTCAAAACAATTTTTCAAAATGCCAAAAAGAATACATTTTCAACAATCTCAAAATGGACACTCAAAATACAAAACTCAAAACACAAAACTCAAACATAAAGAGAACAGCCCCTAACTTGTGACTTGTTTTGCTCGAATCTTTTTCTTTAGTCACAGTGTTGCAAATCCTATTTGGTATTAATGTGCTCTCTGTCAGGTTTATAGAGATGCAATTTAGAAGGCTGAATTTAAACGACTTGAACATTAAATTGGCCATTGTAAGTACGTCTTTATTAGAATACGGAGAACATGGAATGAAATTAAGAATAATAACCTCTAGTATGAATCATTTTCCTTCGATGGGCTCATTTAAACAGTTTGATTGTTCGGTATTTGGTGAATCGAGTAAAAGAAGATAGTACTGCTGATTGAACACGAAATTTCACTAACATACAATGGGAAGATAGCATAGCTCTACTTACTGACTGAACAAGAAATTTGAACAAAGATATATTGGGTCGTCCTTATTTTTTTCCTTCATATCTGATTTTCTGCTTTGATTTAACTTCCGTAAAAAGGACTTTTTGTTTCTATAAAATGTATTACTAATATAACGAAATTCTTTGTCATTCTTCATATGTGCATTCACTAGTTTCTTGAAAGTGCCTTTGATTTACTACTTCGAGCATTCTCATTTTTCTGTGAAATGACTCAAGATTTCATGAACAAGAATAGTAACTACATATAATATTTATGTTCACAGATAAATTTTCAATGAAGTTTAATCCTTACAGCATATGATTTTCAACTCTTCAATTCATACTCATTTCTCCCATTATTGCTTATGCACTCCCCATTTGAAGTGTCCCAAAAGAATCTTTTTACTTCAAAGGTCGAATTTTTCATTGAACCCGAACACAGGCAAATTTAAAATAAAAGCCATAAAGTTTTGTTGGACGTTAAGCACAAAATAATAGAGAAGTGAAATAGAGAAATCAACACAAGGAGCGAAGTGAGATTTTTTTACGGGAAGAGTTCACAAATCAGGTATTAACTTTAACAATTGCAAAAATTAAGTGTTAAGTTTCAAATTTGCAAAAATCAGGTATTTATTAATTAATTAAATATTTAATTGTAATATAATATAATTAACCCATCACACCTCCACCTCTACCTTCACCACCTCTACTGCTTCGGCGACTGTTCCTCGACCGCGCTTAATTCCGACGACTATTCCAGCGACCATTCTACAGCCGCTTAATTCCGGTAACTGTTCCCCAATTTCAGCAATTGTTAAGGTCACAATTATATACAATTTGGTTACAAATATCTAATTAATTACTTAAAAATTAGGTCATAATTTATTTGCAGGTCACAGATTTTCAAATTAGTTGGTCACATATAAAAAAATTTGTAGATCACAATTAATTCGTCGATCACAGATTTCAAAATTTATAGGTCACACAGTCACAGATTTTCAAATTAGTTGGTCACAGATTCTTTTACAATCACAGATTATATAATTTTTATGTCACAGATAATAAAATGATTGGTCACAAATTAACCAACACCCCACTTCCACCTCCGATCATGATCCAACACCTTAACCGCACACCACCGTGCCCAAGCCAACCATCGCCTCCATCACTATCAGATCCACCATACCCTGTCAGCTACGCCACCATCACGCCCCAACCCTACTANCCAACAAAGCCGCCACCACTAAATCCAATACCGTTGCCAACCACCATCACAAAATCACCACCACTGACAACAAAGAAGTTAAAACATTTTGGAGAGAGAAATGAGGGCAACAGAACGAAGGCGAACCAAATAATTGGTCATTTCACCCACCTGATCATCGTCGGAGCTCCACTTCGCCGTGGTCTGCTTAGTGGTGTCATTTCACCATCGCAACTTGCGGTGATTCGTGAAGGGAAAAGTAGGACGACGCGGGTGCTCTGGGAGGTGGTCTCCGACAGTAGACGGTCGTCTCCGACAGCGAGCGCGAGAGAGAAAAAGAATGGGGAAGAGGAGGGGAGGCGTGAGAGATAGGGGAAGGGAGTAGAGAGAGAAATTAGATTATCAATTAGGGTTTTAATATAATACTTGATTTTTGAATAAATAAAGTTTAGACCTGATTTTTAAAAACCAATCTTTAAACACCTGAATTTATGTAATTACCACATTTTTTATTCAGTATGAATAATAGGGTTACATCATTAATTTTATACTAATCCCGATCTATGCCCAAGCCCATAAAAATTTTAAGGCCAGTACAAGAAAAAAATACACATGTACCGTACCGCTGGGCCCTGACAAACAAACAATGAATTAAACCCACAAGACCAATGCCGTCGCTCCGATCCGTCCGGTCCGCGCTTCCCTTCGACATCAGCCTTTTTGATCTAGTGAACTTGTATTCCACTCTATATGAGACATATATACAACAAGTTTTTATCATGCATTTTGAATTCAGAAAAGGCTTAAATAGATGAAAAACAGTCCAAATATCTAACGCCATAGCATTATTCTTGTGAAGTTAGTATTCTAAATCAAGCTCGAATTATGGGATGGAGACAGTATTTCTCGTGCATGATTTGCAAGATTATCCTCTTAGTTTTATCTTCTAACACAAGGAAAATAACCCTGTATATTATCTAAAAGCGTCTTCTATCATTCTATGGACCTCTTGATTTTTCAGTGACCAAATTGGGCCACAGTCAGTTATGTTTGTTGACGTCATGTTTATATTTATTATAACATTTTGCACCTATACTATTGTTCCATTACTGTCGTCATGTAATATTCAATTACTAACATTGCAAGAAACAGCTTATCCCCGGCCCTGATAAGAAGTTTTTGATCGATAAGTTTTTTTCTATATTAACATTAGCAGTTGAGTTTTCTGTACTTAGTTTTTCAAATTGGTAGTTCATCTTATTTATTTAGTCCTGAACACAAACAGTCTTGAGGCTAAGAAGCTCAAAGCAGAGAGCCTGCTATCCAAAATAATAGCATCTTGGGTTCCTGCTGGTCCCTCAGACGACCAGGAAACAATCACAGACTAGGCAAAAATTATGTTCCGTCGGGTTGTATTACGAATGAAAGCATACTTGCCACTCGGTGAGTTATCATCATCGCAGAGTACTGATGAAAACGAACTTGTCATGTCATCAAGTGTATATTCTGTATTGTTTAGCCAAAAAAAAAGGATATATATTTCTATAACCAGAAAGGTAAATCATTGTCTCATTATCGTTATCTACCAGGCATTCGTGGCATTTTTTTTTTTTTATGGCATTATTGAGAACATGCATCTGCACTGGAAACATAGAGAGCTCGTGAAGTTGATATTGAACGAGAAATAACTTGTTTTTGTCGAAGAAACAGCGAGACTGTTGGAATATGAAAGCGGTGGAATTTTAGTAGTAATAGAAAGAGTTCCAAAAGGTTATGCTTTAGTACTTGCTGTTTTTAATCATTCGGAACATTTCTGATCATGATCGCTCATAGGGCTTAATTCACCATTAAAAAACAAGAGAAATAAATATACTAAACTTGCCGAGTGTACAAACTGAATGCTATTCTATTTCGTATGCAAAGTGAAGATGAAGCTTCATGGATGGGTTCTGGTGGAAGTGAAGATGAAGACGACTGGGAAGATGATGGAGGCTCCATGACCCAAGTTATCTAACTGAAGGAAGTAATCGATTGTTAAGGTCATTTTGGTTCACAATGCGGGTATAGTTTATTTCTTCAGAAAACATCAGTTTTAAGAATCTTTTTATAACACATAAAAATAAACTACTCGAATTAATTTAAGTTGGAAAGAAAAATAGCCTCATCGTTGTACAACTCTTTTCCTCATGAGCACCACAAGAGTAAAATAAAAAGCCGGATGCAATTAACGATAACTGCAACAGAAAGGACCGAAGTTCGACCCACATGACTAGAAAGCCTAAAAAAGCTTGAACTCAAAAAAGGGAAAATAACATAAAAATTATGTAAGCGACTGGCTAAATAAACAACTAGAGGTCGCATTTCTTTCAGGGGACAACAATGAGAACAAATGAACTGCAAAACTTATCATTGACGCAGTGCTTGCTGCAACTGAAGAATTTGATTCCTTTGTTCAGTGGGAAGCATATTAATCTGTTCTGGAGTGAGACTCATAACTTGCTGAAGTAATGCCTTCTCCATCTCGGGACTCAACTGCACCACCACCAAGTTTATTTTAGATTGTAAGTCAGAGAAGAAAACTCCAAACTCTGTATTCAGAGCTTGGTGTATGAATCTAGAAATCACAACTACATACTGATGGCGGTCGAGGAGGCTGATTGCTGGGATTTATCTGACCAGGGAACATGAGTGGTCCCGGAAGCTGTGTTCCTGTCGTATTCTCAGGTAAACCAGGAATCCATGGGGATCCTCTATCTGTTTGCTTCGTGCTTCCAGATTGACTGAATTCCATTCCTAATTGTGAACCTCCACCCTGGAAGAGCATAAGTTTGCATTTTGCACACCAATAGAATCTTGAAGGAACACTTCAATAAATACCAAAATGTCGATCCAACATTGAAAAATATATTTTATTGATATGAAAATTATAGCACCCAGCAGATGTTAAACAAAATTCTCCGAAGAGATAATGCATAAGTAGGCTAAGAAATTATCCATCAAAATGGTCCATGAAACAGTACTCATTTTCGAATTCTGAGAGAACAGGTAAGGTCAACCATCACTTATCTAACTAATATTAAAAGCTTCTGACGATTTGAAGTCCATATCAGAACAACAGATTCGGTAAAGAAGACAAATTGATGATGTAAAGTGTTTGCCAAGTATGGAGGCAGATGATTAAGTCAATGCCTACTCTCACCAGCATGGCTTATCTTTAAGTCCTAATGCCCTATCTCTAATTTTTAAAATTTCGTCAATGCCCCTATTCCTAGGAATCTTCATTTATTCTGTAATCTTGATGGTAGAGAGGCTGAAAAATCATCAGGCATGCTAAATTTGCTCAATTCATTCTATCATTTTTCAGAGTTTTTAGAGCTTGAAGCCTTGATAGCTTTGGCATCTTTTCATGCAAATCGTTTTTTTCCCAATCTGTCCTTATGTCCCTTCACCTTTCCCATAGAAACTTCTGTTAGGAAGTTCAAAACCTTCTAATGATAAAGGCTTTACTTGGACCTTGGTTCTTGAGAAAATGAACATCAATGCCTTGCTAAAAACTGAATACAACATGAGGGTTTATCCCCAGACGTATGCAGATGGAACAATGAAACACTAGCAACTATTACTGCATTGAATTTTTGAAGAAAGTTTTGCTTAGACTAGTATAAGTAAGCGGTTCATAATTCCCAACCAGAAGCAACCAAATTAAGGAGTTCGGTGTCATATATCCAGAAGGAGAATATTTGAAGCTACTTTAGCATTTGCATTGAACCCAATACAATACAACAGGCATACCTGGTAAAGTGGCGGCGTCAAAGAATGACTTGGAAGTGAAGGCTGCCCCTGTGGAAATGAAGGCACCATGCTAGCAGGAGGCTTGTTTCCAGACTGAAACAAGTAATATATTTTTTTAAGTGGTAGCCACAAAAATAGAAATAAATCATTTAGCTAGTTAACTGCATTCTCTAGCTTACATGAAATGCATGTTGTGAATGATGCAGCGGTGGTCCACCAGGATGCTGGAAACCCATATTTTGCCCTGATTGAGGGTGAACTTGATGACTGAAACTTGACATTTGTGGTCTTGGCAGAGGCGGCAATGGCAGTTGCTGTGGTGGTTGCAAAGGCAGATATTGAGGTCCCATATTCTGCGTAGGCTGCTGTGATTGAGTGGAGGCTGAGGGCATCGGGGCATGGAGATGAGATGGTGGCTGTGGAGCAGAATGATAAGGTAGTTGAGAGATGTTAGGAACTTGAGAGGACTGTGGCAATGACATTGATGTTGATTGGGCACCAATAGGTCCCATAGGCTGCTGTACTGATTGCAAGGGATGTGATGGCATAGATTGGGATTGAGGGATTGGGGTTGGAATAGACACAGATGTTCCTGATATTACAGTTTGGTTCGACTGCGGCTTCCTCGTCTGGTTCTGACCAATTTGACCTGGAAATGATGAAGTAGGCTTAATATTGGGCTGCTGCGTCGGCAGTGGCGATGGCTGAGAATTTTGTGCTGCCGTTGATGAAACGGTTGAAACCTAAAAGCGGAAGCTAAATTATTAGACTACAATGCAGCAATATAAATATTAAGGATATGCATGGAAAATAACATACTGCTTGAGGGGGCTGCACCATTCCAAGCATGATTTGCGCCTAATGAAAGACAGGATATATAGTAAATATGTCAGCAGCTGAAAAAGCAATCCGTAATGTGAACTATAATATTTATCAACACAACATGTCATATCCAAATTCTTATGTCGATGTATGTGCGGAAAAAAAAAATAGAACTGAATGTTGACGATTAAAAGTGTAGTCAATAAATTGGAATAACGTGCTCAAGTCTACAGCCATCAAGACGATCCCAAATTATTTTAATCAACTCTAATTTACTTATCACGAGTCATGATAAATATCTGTATGTCAGAGTAGCTCCAAATTATATTAAAGCGATAAGTGCTAGATATGGAATATGTCAAACACCAGATTAGTCAAAATTGTAAATTTGATGATAAATGGATGTTAGAGAATAGCTGATTTTGCACCCTTTTTCATGTCATGCTAGTAACTAATTTTAAATAACAAGTGAGCATGATTAAATGGAACTTAACATTTCAGAAATAAAATGACTGACAAGAATTACAGCGTGTTTGGATAGAGAGAAGGTAGACAGAGGAAGGTGAGGAGACAATTACTTACAAATGGAAAGTAATGAAATTAAAGGTCTAAAGATATCCAGAAATTTCGTTAGGAAAATACAAGCCACATTCTCTCTCTAGTCTAGTACAAAAGTAACCTCTTCCCTATCCTTTCCCCCCTTTGCCCCTGCTAATGAAGTGTGTTAAAATGTATCACAGTTGAATTATTATTATTATTATTTTATTTATTTTTATTTTTATTTTTTTAATAATAACATGAAGAACACCAGTGTAGATAATGTGTACAGCATTATCTGAGGGAGTAGGAATAAGATTGTTCAAATTTTGGAGTACACATTCTACACGAACGATTTCCCCCTTCATCACCTTCTCATTTGCCCCTGCTTATGAAGTGTTTTGACATGCTTTCGTGCAGTGGAATAATTGTGTTATTTTCTACCAGATCCATAAAACAGCGATCCCTGCTTTTATAGTAAATAGAGCATATGAACTATTTATTTGGTAGTTTTGTAAAATTCAGAAAATCAATATAATTAAACAAAACCCTAATTCACAGAAACAAGAAGCAAGAACAGAAAAAGAAACCGAGGCATCAAATATAAAATTCAAGATATGAAAACGGAATTGAAAAAGAAAACTCTAAGATAGAAAGAAACCTGAAAAAGAGCCCTAGTCAATGCCGGATTTTGAATGAGAATTTGCCTAGCCTGTTGCTGGTTCTGCTCTATCAGTGCCTGTAGTGAGGACAACCAGAATTCAATTTTTCCCCCTCCTAAACAATTAGTTCTTAAAATAATTTTTAAAAAAAACACGTAAAAAGGCAGTAAAATTGGTGTGTGATGAATCCGAAATGTACCTTCATCTGTGACATAATGTCGTAAAGCTGGTTTTTGGACATTCCGGCTAGGCTGGACGGTACGCCGTCGCCGATTACCTGCTTCCCAGCCATTCTTCTTCCCACAGAAAGAGTATAGGGATTGCGGTATTAATGTGATGTTACTTTTTTTTTCCCGATTTATCCCAAATCTTGAGATATTTTTCGATCAATTTCTTCGGATTGTTTTAAGAGGAAATTGGGAAATTGATTACCGTATTCTTCAATATTTTGCTAATTATGGTTGACATACACTAACATGTAATTTTATATATATTTCGATGGAAGAAATAACATTATGCAACAGTATTTCCCTGTTTTTTGTTTTAACTTAAAAGAATCATAAATATGTGTAAAGTTCTTAATAGAGTCATTCAAAACGGCATCGTTTATGAGCTCTACGATTGTTATGTTGAAATCGATTATTATGAACTCTTCGATTATTATTTTGGGCTCTCGCTCGAAATAGCATCGTTTATGAACTCTACGATTATTATTGGTCGTTCAAAACCATCGTATACTATCTATTCATTATAACTTCATTTCACTAACACACGCAAGTTATCTCGAAACTTTAATCTCAACCATTCGTTATTCTCTTCACATTTTCTCTCTTTTACTCCTCCTCAAAACGGCTGGCAATGACATCTCGGGGGGTTTACGATTTTTTTATTTTTTTCAACTTGATCATCGTCATGAAGAGTTTGAGAAGGAAATTCGGTGTATTTCTTTAGAAGTGACAACATGTAAGGTCTGAAATATCATACACAAATCTTTTGGGGGGTACTTACAAAAATATCCTTAAAATTAGAAGTGTTTTGAAAAATCATATGAAAGATTTTTAGGAAGTAAAAAATACTGTATAAAATAAAAAAAGTGACATAATGTCACTTTTTTTATAAAAATTGTCATTTTTTTACTTTTTAAAAAAAAGTGACACACACTCAAAAAGTTATACAAACTCAAAAAAGTGACAAATACCTAAAAAGTAACAAAATATCAATCAAAACATATGTTTGTTATTCAAAAAAGTGATAGAAATTTTTTAAAAGTAACAAACAATAAAAAATGAAAAAAATTCAGAATAGTGGCTGAAAAAAGTGACAAACACTCAATAAAGTTACAAGCACACAAAAAAGTGATAAAATTGTCACTTTAAAAAAAAGTGATACAATGTCACTTTTAAAAGTTTAGTGTCATTTTTTACAATCTCACTCTTATTAAAAAGTAATATTTGTTACTAAAAAGTGATTGAAATTTCAAGAAGGCGATTGAAAAAAAGTGACAAATACTAAAAAAGTGACATACTCCAAAATAACGAAATTAAAAAAACGACAAAAATAGCCTTAGTTAACACTTAACAGGCAAACATTTTTACATTTTGTAGAAAAATAATCTCTAAATTTGGGCAAAATATAAGGAACAAACATGTGCTTATTTTAGCTATCTGAAGTTAAATGACACTGTTGAATAAATTCTCTTCTTTTTCTTTGAAGATGGTTCATCATCAACATTTGCTTTTCTCTTCAAATCACTTTCTCTAACTATTGTAGAAATAGGAGTCAGATTTCGGAGTGAAAAAGTTAAAATCGGAACCCGAGTTTTTTATTCAAAACGATTGGAAACAGGTGAACTGTCCCCATACATCAAAATCAGAGCACAAATGCAAAGTTTAACATATTAGAAGAAAGTTTCTGTAACAACGACATTTGTAATCCACGCCCTAGTGTGTTGCTTCCACTAGTTTCTCTTCATTGTTCTTCTTGCCTCCAGTGAAAAACTTGTACCCTCCCAAGATAAGCAAACCCCAGCCAGATAAAGAGACAATCATGAAGTGCTCCTCCTTCCACTTGGATGGACCCATCGGGTCTTTCCAGCAATCAACCTTAGCATGCCAATGGTGATCAGCGCCGCTAGCGAGGCCACGGTGGAGAGCCAGAGAGGCGAATCTAGCAGCGTTGCAGCTCGGCACGCCATCATTGCAGCCAATGAAGTAGCCATGGCTCTGTGTTTTTTCTTTCGAAGAAATGGTGTGCGAGTGCATCAGTTGAGGAGAGAGTTTGTAATCAATGCATATTGGATTTTAGGTTTAGGACGTATTAATTACGGGTTGAATGGTTTAATTAGTTTTAAAAGGGTATTATTCAATTTAGTTAGTTTAACATTGCATTTGGCCTAATTTTCCCAATCTTTTGCTACATATACAACCTGGCATATTCTAAACGGGTTGGCTTAAAAATTGGGCCCTATTTGTCTAACAATCAATTGGGCTATTCAGCACCGTTGGGCCGGTCTATGTGATTTTAATTATTTATGGCTTTATATATTATGATATTGTTAATTAATCTTACATTTATATAAAGGTTAATTCTATATATTATACAGGATAATTATATTACCACTACAAAATTTGTTTACTACACCACAATTTGAAATATATGTTTTATCTACTTAAATAACCCTATGTAAGATTACATAAATAGACATTCTTTTAAATATTTTTTAAAACTATTTTTTTATTTTGTTTCCTCCACAAACGTGAAACTTATCTTTTTTTTTTTTTTTTGCAACTTTTTTCTTCACTGTGGATATGCTTTTCTTTCACTCACTACACTTGTTTTTTCATTTTTTTGGTGGTAATTATAATGGATTGTTTATTTTTTTTATTGATTTTGTGATGTATGTAAAACTTGATGATGGTAAGTAATTAATAAAATTAACTCGTCGTAAATATGGGTGAGTGGGGTAAACACGTGTGGACAGAATTAGAAATGGGGTGAGGGTGGT